CTTATAATATGCTTTAACATTCTACGCAGCATAATTAACGAAGAATTTGTTCGGTAAAAAGAACTAAATCAGATCCTCACCAAAATAAAAGTTGTTATTCAGGACTCACTGTGAAAGTTAATCACATCTTAGAAAGTACATAAAAAATTAGAATCAAAAATAGCCATAACAATCTTGTTTTAAACTGATTCGCTTGACATTTTTTAGCTGTTAACTTTAATTAAATAACAACTTTAGATATTGTCGCAGAAAAGTCGAAATATTGCCTTTTTGCCTCACCAGTGTTACTTAAAGATATTTCATGATAAAGTAGGAAGGACTAAATTCAGTCAAAGTCACTGAGACTATCATCCGCTGTATCGGATTTTATTGAATCTGGGAGGGTCAGGTACATCTTCGACGTCCCCCCCTAACAGTAGATTTTTACTCTTTTGCTTTCGTTATTTTATTGCTGTATCAGATGTTTCAGATTTCATGTTTAATTTGTTTTCCTTCTAAGATCGTTTTTGGTACTTTTTATTGTTTAAAACTTCTGTTCCTTGGTATTGTAGTTTCGTCGAGTTTACACTACAAGATGTTTCTACGGGCTTAACCCTAATAATTTTGTGTCAAGGTCGCTGAAGCTTTATTTAATCCACATTTGCACAATGCTAGATTTATTTACTTAACGTTTGTTTGTTTGTAATTAAGCACAAAGCTGCACAATGGGCTGCCTGTGCTCTGCCCACCACGGGTATCGAAACCCGGATTTTAGCGCTGTAAGTCCGCAGACATACCGCTGTGCCACTGGGGGGCTTTAGCGTTTATAAATAAAATTTCGCATTGCCCCTTTGAGGCTTTGTCCATATTATGGACTGATGTCATCATTTTTTACATAATTATACACAAATCGCCGATGTAGGCTTACACAAAGTCCTGCTTCCACACTACAATCCACTGCAGTAATAATATAAACATATAATGTTTCGTGTTTTCTGTAGATGTTCTATCTGTGTATCAAAAACATTTAACCATGCCGCGCAGGCGTATTCTCTGACTGACCTAATGTGTGTTTTATATATTTCGAATGTAGTGTATGGTGAAGCTCCTTATCAGATTCGCTCTAAACCAGATCCGATTTTTGATACTCTTGATATGTTTAATACACATTTGTTTTTAATCGTAAATTAATCCTAAGAATTGAGCTGATGTGGCGACTTCGAAGTGTGCAAAATAAAGCTTTTTAGGAGTTTGTATCCGGTTCTCGTAGACTGGCTGTCACACCATTTACTGTTTAGACTACGTTTCCTTTCGTCAAGATAATACCGCGTGCTATAGACTGACGTCACGACATCCGGGGTTTTGCAAAGCCATTAATCACCATCTTGTGGCTCAATCTCAAACAATCAACGAAACATGCGAATAAATGATTGTTTAATTAGGCGTTAAGTACTTCATTTCAGTACTTAATACTTTATTTCTTACAGTAATTGATTGCATTTAATAAGCATGAATACATATAATTATTTCTGGTGCATTTGGTATGTGTAAATATAGTATATTTAAATTATATATATATATAAAATAATGAAGTACTGGCTGATTGACGAGTTTATCAACTGTATTTCTTTTATCTGTATAATTCGCAGAAACAAATTACTGATTTTATAAATAATAATTTGATATTCTATATCTTTTATGATCCATGAATACGAACATCTATTTCTCTGCATTAAAAGCAATACAATTCTATCATAATACATGTATACAAACTGTAATAAATTGCAATACAACTGCATAACTTTGTACAATAAATATATATATTTGATATTACAGTTTATTGTAAATTATGTAACATTTTTTTATGATCAAAGTCTCCGTATGATTTCAACCAGACACCTGGTCACTAAAACATTTTATATGTTTGAACAACAGTTTTACAGTATGTCACCTCAAGGTCTCCGTATGATGTCAACCAGACACCTGGTTAATAAAACATTTTATATGTTTGAACAACAGTTTTACAGTATGCCACCTCAAGGTCTCCGTATGATGTCAACCAGACACCTGGTTAATAAAACATTTTATATGTTTGAACAACAGTTTTACAGTATGTCACCTTATAGTAAGATATCCAAGACCATTAAATCACTAGCTACATGTTATTTTTCATTAGACAAAGATTCAGTATTACTTAATAATTTATCCATCATCTTTTTAATCTTTAACCATAAAAATTACAAATGATAGGATTTTTTTTAAATCTAAATTTCAGTTTCCTAGCTGTAGTCTTCATTGGGTTCTGGGTCCTTGATTATCTTTGATAAACTAAAAGGGTCTCAGTCATAGGCGTCGGAGGTGGAAGAGGGGGCTATGGGAGCGGGTGCTCTCACAGATTTCAAAATAGAGGTGGAGGGTCTTTTCGTCCCTGCAGGATGAACGTAACAATGACGACTATTTTGTTTGGTTTTGTAGC